CAGACACATCCCGACACTGCTGTCGTCACGCCAGCTGTTCTCTGACCCTTCTTCCTCCCTCTCGCGACGTGTAGCTAAAATATAGCACGTGGGAGCGTATACCTGCCCCACCCTCTCTTCGGGAACCCTCGTCACGTGGTCATCGGGCCAGGTACGCATCAGCTGATGCACGCGCGTGGGTGAAGCTTATTGACTGCCTGACTGACTGACTGACTGACTGACTGACTGACTGTCTGTCTGTCTGTCTGTTCGTTCGTCCCTTCGGTGATGCATTGTCCCTCGACATGAACCATAGAAAAGCGGCTGTTATTGTCGACTGTGCCTCGCGTCGCAAGTCTCGTTCCCTTCCGGTTGACCTGTGAAGGGATTAATTGTTTCGCGTGATACTTTTTCCGCAACAATTGTCACGGGAAGGAGAGGTCGCGAGCCACAGGATCTCACGTCCACGTGTATTGTCGCCGTTCTCACGTTACAGAACGGTCCGCGCGGCGACTTGTAATTGATTAGAATAAGAGCCGAAAGTCGGAAACGCTAATGGCCAGGCCGATCGAAGCGCGCATTAATAAAACAGGCCGCATCGCTTCACATTAAGGATGGCCCGTGAAAGCGTGACTTTTGTTCGCATTACTGCGAACGAGGAAGGAATAGAGCGGGAGCCGTTCGAGCCGGCTTCCACTCGCGAGTAATTATATCGCTTTTTCGTGCCGCTCGCGTACTAGGCCTCCACGTTCTTGTGTTGATTTCGACTCTTCACTCTTGTCTTGTTTTTTCGTTCTCTTTAATATTAATGCCGCGCCGTTGCCGGAAGTTCTCGCGGACGCTTTGAGGAGACTCCGTCGAGACTCTCCTTGCCGCCGTCGCGATATTTTTGATTCCCCGTCCTCGCCTTCGATCGCCACTCGCGCTATAATCGACTGCATCGCGTATCCCCGTCCGGACTCGTCTATTTTTATACGTCCTCTCATTCCTGGAGGTAGGCCGGTCGGCACATGGCGACGATGGCGCCCGGCATTAGGTAACGCGTTTCCGCGCTCGCGGTGAAATTTTCGCGGCCGCCTTCGCGAACGTTCGCCGTCGAAAGGAGGAAGAGGAAACCGAGGATAACGAGCGACGACACCCTGCCGCCGCCCCCTCCCCCTGCCCCTCCTCTCCCCCCGTCCTGGCGCGCTGGCACGGTGCATTTACATGCGAGCGTTCGCCCTCCGTGCGCTTCCTCTTTCTCCGCGCGACCGTTTTCCGCGATGATTAATACGCGCGTGTATACGCGCTCCGAGATTGCAGGTACGTACGTCCTGTTGTACGTGAAGAAACGCGCGTCGGCAGAGAGAGAGAGAGAGAGAGAGAGAGAGAGAGAGAGAGAGAGAGAGAGAGAGAGAAGAGAAGTGGATAAAAGGAGGAGGAGAAGGCGAATTGCTGGATAGAGAGGAGGACGGTCTGCTCACGAGTGCGAGCGAGAGAGAGCGGCGGCGAGAGCGAGCGGGACAGAGAAATCGAAAGAGGAGCACGCGGGCCCGAGGAGGAGCGACGGACGCGGTGCGGTGAAGAGGGCCCCGGTGGCGGCGGCGGAGAAGAAGGGAAAAGAGAGGCGAGAGAAGGTGGAGGTATGCTGCGCAGCCGTGGGAACCGACTGCCGAGCGAGCGAGCCGCGCTTTCCATCTCGCTTCGTCGTCCTGGCCGCGCCTGCCGCCTCTCTCTCTCTCGTTCTATCTCGTTGTCCGCCTCTCTCTCTCTCTCTCTCTCTCTCTCTCTCTCTCTCTCTCTCTCTCTCTCAATCTACCTCGCTCTTTCTTTCTGTCGTCTCTTGCATACCCCGCCGACCTGCTCGACCGTCCGGCATCGAGGAGCTCTCTCTGATTCTTCTCCTCTTTTCGTCGTTCGCGAGGAAGGGAATCGCAGGACGAGCGTTTTCCTTCTTCCCTCGGCATCCTCTCGATCGTCTTTATCGTCCTGTGCACTCACCTTCTCCACCATCACCGTCACCTCCTCCTGCTCTCTCGATTCCCGTCGCTGGTCGCCGGCAATCGCCGCTACCGGTGCAGCACACGTACACATAGATGCACACACACCCGCGACCGGCGCACATTGTTCCCGCGCGGAGAACCGCGCCTTTTTTCGTGCCCGACCGCGATTCCTCGCCGATTTCATTCCGATCCCCCGTAATAAATTAGCGGACGATCACGGTGGCATTTGTCTTCTCGACGATTTATCCTCTCCCTGCCTTCCCTCCCTCTCCCTCCCTTCTGATTTGTTGCACCACCGCGAGTAATCGCGTCCTTTTCCTCGTCTCTTTCTCCTCTTCGAGAGATGTAACACCCCTCGTGCGCGTCTAACCCCGAGGCGCGTCCTTGCCGCGAGAGAAAAAGGCGGCGTAGCGCCGTTTCTCTCGTCTCTTGCTTCCGTCCACGCCTACCACGGGTGCCTCTCTTTTTGTTCCGCACTTTTTCGTCCCTTTTCGCGTACGAGGTCCTTGGACCGGTCGAACGATGCATCGCGTATTCGGTATCTCTCGCCACGCAAAAGCCCCGCATCGCGGTCTCTCTCTCTCTCTCTCTCTCTCTCTCTCTCTCTCTCTCTCACTCTCTCTCTCCTTCTACACGCACTCCTTTCAGCGGAGACAAATTGCTCGCGCGTCCTTCAACCCTCTCGCGCGGCGAAGGGCGATTGGCGGCGCGTACCTGTGCGTTCACGTGTAGCCCGTCGAGCCGATTTTTAACGGGGAATACACTACACGCGGCTGTCCGCGAGAGTAACACGATTACTACATAATGAAGAAGTCGAGGACGTGCACGGAATTCAATTTCCGTCGAGCCGAAGCTCTCTTTTCAGTTTTGTCAGCTCGCGAGAGCGTGTACATCAGTTCGTCGGGTTCTCTCTGTTTCTCTTTATTGCTGTACAACCGTGAAGAGCACGGAGCTGTTACTGACTGCGCTCAGAGTTCGCGCCAAGTCTCGCTCGTCGTCGATATTGCGTGTGCGACGTGGAAAGACATCCGCGGACAACAATGCGGCGCGTGCAAATGCGCGACGACGTCCGCATAAATTTCAATGTGCGAAATGGCACTCGCGGGGGATTACCGGCGACTCGCTCGCTGGAACTCGGACGAAACTGGAATGGCGACGCGCCGGATATAAACATTTATTATTCTCTGTGCAACGCGCGAGTACTAACGAGGTCGTGTATAATACCGTGAACCCTTCACCCCGCGCCTCCCTTCTTCTCCTCTTTCTCCTCTTCCTCCTCCTCTCTCTCTTTCTCACACATATATACTCACACACGTTCTCTATCATTGTATTCACGTATATGTTCCGCGCGACGTTAGTAATTAAACGATGCATTATCACTGCGCACGTAGCGGCTCGCGTTGTACCGCGCGTACTTATTAACACAATAACATGTGTGCCCGCGCGCGACTGGCGGCGTCGCGGAGTATCGGTGATGGTGGTGGTGGTGCTACGTGTGGTTTCACAACGGCGGGAGTAATGTTACGGGATTTACGAGCTGTCGTTTCGGGTATCTAGCGGGTCTCCTACGACTTACAACTCCCATCGCGCGCGCGCGGAACAGCCATGTGTGTGCATGTCGCTCCCGGGGTTTCCCGCACTTCCTCCCATCTAGGGATTCCTCGGCCTCGGCTTGCGGAACAGATTTTCGTCTCGGACGATGTCGAGGGGCCACCAGTAATAGCCCCGTGTTACGAGTCGTCTTGCGTACGCAGTGGAGAGCTGCGCGAACACTCTCACGAATTGAAGTTGCACGACCGCTTACTGCACAGAGGAGCGAAGATGTAGCCGTAGACCGAAGTTTGGCCGATCAGACTTTGCGCGCGTGCTGCCCAAGAAACGCCGGGGTGGTCACGTGAGGTCGCGGTAAATCGGGTTAATCGTACACGAATCGAGTCGCTTGTTGACACGCCCGCGTCAGATGGCGACCTTTCAGCGCAGTTCGCGTAAATCGCTCGCTCGTCCGCAGTCAACTTTCGCGAGGGGTGCACACTTCGCACGTGTGCACCTTAATGCGACGCGTGATTTATACCGAAGGGGCATCGCGCGCTCGTGGAGAATTCACCCTCCGTGAGGTACCGACGTCGTGCTACTCCCCTCGCGCCTCCCCCCGGCGATAACTCCAAAGGGGGTGGTATTCGCGCGTGTGGCCGTGCCCCTCGTGTCCCCCTCTCGCATTCTGGCCCCTTTTACCGGTGACGCGTAACGGCGTTTCTCCTCGCTCGCTCGCTCGCTCGCTCGCTCTTCACGTGCACGCGCTGCGCATCGCGTTCGGCCGACGTGGCAGGTGTTCGTGTGACGCACCACACCTCCGAGACATTTAATTTATTATCAACCCTTTCACCGCTGAGGTATCTCCGCGACGTGCCTGCTTCTGAGGCGTACGCCGCCTGCGGAGAAAGAAGATCCTTACGCCGTACCTTGTTCGTTATCGCGATCGAAATTTAATGAACTCTTTTAAAGTTGAGAGAAACCAGATTTCTCTCAAATTTCTGCCAGCACCTTCCTCCGTTCTTGCAAGTTGTCCATAAGTTGTAGAACGAATTGGTTATTAATTATTAATTCGAGACCAGTACTTAAAGATGTAGATGCAGGGAAATGATCACGTTCGATTTAGTAAATTTTAGCGCATCCAAACAAGTGTTTGGCTTCTGAAATAATTTTCTTGTTCGATCGAAATAATTTACATGGTCCAAAAAAAATTGTTTCGCTTGATTTTCTTATTTTGTTGAAAAAAAATCGATAATTTGAAACAAATTTAACATTTCTCTTCCCACGTTACCGACGGTCTGTTTTTTTATCATTTCGTCACGTATACCTTCCTCTCTTTTCTTTAAATAATAGTGTTTTTTTTTTCATTGGACAACGTAGTTAAATGAAATGACATTCGACACAAAATCACTTATGTTCGGATCAAACGAATGGGAGTCAAAGAAGCGGAAGTACCAAATCCAATTTCGTCCTTTCTGTTTGCTCACGTTGTTATTTTTCTATTTACAGGGCACATTCTCGCTGATAGTGGAGGCTTATCACGACGCGAACAGCACGCAATCGACCGGTGAGTACATGCATTTTTCTCCCCTCTCGTCCCTCTTGTGTATATATATATATATATATATATTTTTTTTTTATATTTTTCTCTTTTAATTCATCATCGTGCTCACACTTATCGCGCTCGGGCACGAGTGGAGCTTTCATGCGCGTGCTCATAAAAAGCGGCATAACGCAGGATCATCGTAATATTAGTCCTGAGGGGCGGCGATAGCGCGCGTTTTTAAGGCGGCAGGAAGATAGGTCGTGTCTTGGTAGGTTGGTCGCTCAATTGGGCATGTGTGGTCCAGCTGGCCCGTGAGAGAGAGACGCGGTGTCTCGTGTGACGTGGGCCAGTCAAGAGGGCACTTCCGGTCTCGTTCTAGGCGTGACACTCTCCAGAGACGACGCATCCTCCGACGCTATCCCGCTTCTGTTCCTCCGCCACCTCCTCCTTTTCCCCTTACTTCGTCAACTACCTCTTGATCCTTATCCCTTTAAAGCTCTCTGAGACGCAAACCGGGGAGAGAGAGATAGAGAGAGACAGATCGATTTCTCTCCGGCGCCATACTTGGCTATCGAAGCTTATCCGTGTTCGATTCTTGATAAAATTTATTATTCGCTACGTAAAACGATGGTAATGGCATACAATTTGAAATATGTACTTCGTATCTTACGTTTCATCGTATAAATGGCGTGGGTTAAAAGATTCTGTATATTATATGTTTGTGCGCAAAGAGATAGATATATAATTCCCGTTTATGGGAAAATGTTATAAATATTACATGCAGAAAAAAGAGAGAGCAGTTGGAACGTTCCGTTGTTGTGCTCGTGAATACCCCTTGTCGAGGCTTGGTGACGCGTTTCACAGTGTGGCACACTTCATTTCTCCGATTTCACTGAGTCCACGGCAAAACGTAACAATTTGCGAAACGTTTTCGATTTCACGTGTATCCGCGGGACGGTAAATCTTACGACGACGACCGGTCGTTGTTCCGCGAACAATCGTCGCGTTTTCATTGTTCTATTCAGCCTCTATTGCCTCTGGCCGTTCCTCTCGTTAGCAACCGCGTTATTACGGCAACGCGTCTCCGTTGTGTCATAGCGTTGTGTCGGAGCTGCAGGAGAGCTGGTTCAGGGCGGGAGAGAGGAAAGTGAGAGCAAAGAGAGGAGAGACGGATACCGGGCGGTGGCGGCGGCGGCGGCGGCGGCGGCGGCGGCGGCGGCGGCGGCGGCGGCGGCACTAGTGTTTCCTTCCTGTGTAACCGTAGTACACCCATCTTCCACCGCACTGTAGTAACACGACACCGAGTATATACGGGCGCATCTAATGTACCTAACTCGAGTCCAACCTGACCTGTCGTCAATTGTACCCGAGTTTAGCGGCTACGCGGCTTGTTCCTCGACGACCAAGTGGAATTTCGGGCGCGCGAGTTCGCTTGGATCTAATCTGATATTACGAGCCTCAAGCGCACGCGTGTTTGTAAATTTCACGAGGAAACGCGGAACTTTGAATTCTTTCTCGGGTCCCGATTTGATTCGGCTTCAATGAAATTCGGCATAGATGCAGAAATTTTTAGTTCCGGGTAACCGAATGGAGACGACAAACTCGCTGACGAGAAATTATATTTCTGTTACTGTGACCGAAAAACATTCGTTTGAGTGCGCTTTCGATTTCACTTTTCCGAAAACTCGGTTGAGGCAATTGAGAGTAGATTGGCTGAGTACAAACAGCTTACAGAGGAATCTTTCTGTCTCTACAACTGAGTTTTCCACTGGTCCCCAAGTAACGGAAAATTCGGTTGCATCAACGAAGTTGTTTTTTTCGTGTTGACAAAATATTTTTTCCAACTGAAAAAATTTTTCAAACTAAAAAAATATTTCAGTTTAATTGAATGGAGACTAGACGAAATCGAAAAACTCACCAACGAAAAATATCTCTGTTATTGTAACCGAAAACACTCGTCTGAATATTTAGCTGCATTAAAATTTTCGCTATCAAAGAAACATGTATGTTTTCACCGCCATTAACAGTTTGTTCATTTATCACTTTACTTGTTACTTGTCTATTGGAACAAGTAGTTCTCCCAAAAACCCCAGTGAGACATCAGTTATTCCTTTGACACTGAACATAAAACTTTTAATTTTCTTCTACGTATTTAACGAAGTGAAAGTAAAAAAAATTACACCTTTAAAGAACAAGATTGGTAGCGAAAGGGTTGAAACCTGGTTGAAGTAGCAGAGAACGATTGGCTGAGGGTAAAAACAGGAATCTCTTTGTCCTTACAATTTACATCGAGTTCATCTAGTGCTCGGTAAACAGAAAATTCAGTTACCCCGACGAAATTGTTTCTATTTGTGCAATCCCGGCCAATACTCTGCACGCACTTTTCGAGTCTCGTTCGGACGGGCGGCCAGTGTGTAAGATAAAAATTGCACACACACACACACACACACGGCTAAACTCGCGCGCGAACGGTTCTCTGTACGCATTCGCGCGCAGGTAGCACACGCATCCGCTTTTTCTGTTCACTCTCGAGACCGGCTTGAAAACGGGGTAAGAAGAGCGAGACCGCTTAATTTCTTCCTCGTGAGGTCCCGCCGGGCCCGGCGGGGCCGTCGAGCCGGCCCCCGGTAATTAGAATCGGCCGACGGGAGAGAGCGGAAGCTGCATACGCGGCCGTGTGCTCTCATGCGTGTCACACATACACGCACACGCGTGCGTCGCGCCGTAGCTCGCTCGCATCACCTATGCGGCCGCCGCCACCACCGACGCCGTCGGCGGCGGCGGCGGCTTCTCGGCCAATTAACCGAATTTAACCGTTTCGGCGCCACGCGGTGCCGACTTGGTTCGATTTTGCAGGCGCGCGCGCATCGCCGTTATTTATCCCGCCGTGTCTTGGCAGGCTTTCCCCGGACGCGAGGAAGCGTCGCGTTCGCCAGCGAGTTCGCGGAGAAGTACAGGTCGATTCAACCTTCGGGTCGGAAAAGTTCGTGGTGGAGATCTCGTCCTGAAGAACGGACGAGAACCTTTTAAAAAGTGTCTTTGCAGCCCACATGTACAGTGCAGAGTTGCAAAACAACTTACAAGGGAAAGTCCCGAAATGTATCATCGATTTTGAGTTTAGATCAGTATAACGTTGTTCTAGGGGGTGTATATAAATAATACAAATCTCCATTTACATCTTCTATCTTGACGTTTAAAAAAGATGGCAGAATTATAAAATTATAAAAAAACCGTCAAATAGCGAGTCTCAGTTTTGGCGAGCTCTTCTCAACTTCCTTGTGTCTACATTGTTTTGCAACTCACTGTACACGTTTACGTTAACGAGCTTTCGCCGGTGCGATCTTCCCCTGCTAGTCTCCGAAGTCGCCAAAACGGCGGGTGTTAACGCTCACAGCCGACCGAAAGAGTGTCTTCTGGTCTCTGGATTTTATCGCCGGCGCACTGCTTACCTTATACGCCGCCGTTCGCGGGGCCTGCGATTCTTTTCCTAGCGCGCGGATGTTGTTGTCAGCATGAAATCATCGGCGTATCGTAATCTGTCGCTGCGGCTGCTATTTCCTACGCTTCTTGCCATCTCGGGTCGAACGCAAGTAGAATTCACTGTCGTCGGTACACCGGCAATTAACTGCAACGTTGCGAAAACAGTAGTCGATTCTTACTACATTATTGCAATCGTATTTTTTCGTATCGTTTTAGGGGTGAATCTGACACAACGTAAAAGGACCAATTCCCAGATACGTATACATTCTTATTGTTTTGGTCTTTAAATACGAATATTTTAACTTTTACCGTAGAATATACGTATATATTTAATATATGTATATTTTATACTGAATATATATTTTTCATCAATATAAATATATTTAATACATATGATATAATTTAACGTATAACTCTAAGATAAATATATATAAAAAGATCAAAATAAAAAGAATGTTCAGCATGAGATGCACGAAAAAAATTTCAATTCTTGTAACTGAATGGGGACCAGACGAAAAACTCGCTAACAAGAAATATCTCTGTTATCATGATTGAAAACATTTGTCTGAACATTCAACTTTAGCATTAAAATTCGACTGACTGAGAGCATTGACTGATCCTGTAGAAGATCGTAGCCTTCTGCAGGAATCTTTCTGTCTCTACAGTCGAGTTCATCATCTGGTCCCCAAGCGACAGAGAATTCACTTGCACTGAGTTTTTTTTTTTTCGTGTACGTGTGGAGATCGATTGGAAGCGGGAGTGAGGGAGGGGGAGGTGTCGACGCACACGTGCACCGGCATCTCCGCGACAGGTAAAAGGTCTGTGGCGCACCGAATACCGTATCCGGGGGTAGACGGCGATCCCCGGGCTTTATCGCGCTTACATTGTGCCGCTCCGTCTACCGTGCTCCGAGCGCAATATAATACCCGCCACGCGGCGGCGAAACGAGCCCTTTATTGCCGCGTTGCTCGGATGCTGCTTCCTTTCTCAGGCGAGCGCCGCCACCTCCACCACCTCCTACTCCCCCGCCGTCACCCTGCGCGTTCCCGCTCGTCTCCTTCCCTTTCGAGCGCGACCCTCTTCCTCCTTTCTGCCGGTACACCAAATCGCGCTCTGCGCGAGTATGCACGCACGCACGCACACGTGTGTGCAACGCGCGCGCCACGCCGGTGCACCTGCGCTCGGATCGCGCGCGCGTGCAGTTGCATCGCGCGCCGTCGTCGTACTCGTTCCCTCGCTGGCGGTCCGCTGGTCGCGCGTGTCGCGAAAATTTCGTGGGAACTCGCTCTTGCCGCCGCTAATTGCCTCGCCGTTCTCGCGCCGTTGTTGGTCGCGCGGCTTTTCTCAAGGACGACCGGAGGAGCCGCGCACGATACCACTACCATCATCGCCAGCACTACCACTACACGCGCGCGGGACTCAGTCAATTGATTGAGACTTCGATTCTTCGTCGGAGTCGACTCAGAAGTAACTCCCGACGGAGGTACAGCAGGAATCCGTTCTGCTTATTTATTCACTTATTAATTGTTTTCTGTCACATA